TACTCCAGGCTTCCTGTCCCGCGCGCGCACGCCCCGACTTCTCGACCCCGCGCTCCCGGGGCGCACAGCGCGTTGCGTCGTTTCCGGCAGGATTGTGAATCCCCACCCCGAGGCGTCCGCTTGTTTTTCCACCGGAACTGTCCGCGGGAGACCTATACGGGTATTTAGGAATTATTATTGCCCTTATTTTGTTGCTGTTTTAATTGACTTTGGGGAATTTCTTCAGAGGCTTTGCAGCCGCCTACTGTTTGCCCCTTAATGCTGGTGCGGTGTAGGTGCTTTTCTCGTAAATGCTACAGAAACTCTGAGCTCCTGGGGCAAATGCTTGCCGACAGCGTAGTAGTTCTTTTCCTAGAAATTTCGTAGCCCAGTGCCTCGTCGAAGTAAAAACCACGCACGATTTCACCACCCCTTTTGTGAAAACTTAGATTATTGAAGCAAAACAAAACTTAATTATTGCTTTTAGTCTTAACTGGGTTCTTTGGGTACAGAATGCACTTCAACAAAATTGGAGTTTGCCTAAAATGTCCCGTGTAATTATGAAACAGGTTCCCGTGTTTAAACCCTCCACCCCCCGATCTAGTGAGAGCTGTTGGTGACTATATAAAGCCAAGTCGTTATTGATATACCTTGATTATTGGGGTAGAAGTGAACAGAGCCCGCCATCCACCACTCCCGCTCCCGAAAAGAGCAATGAAAATATTTTAACTGAAGGCACAGAATCGAATTGTTTTTCCGATTTAGTAATAATTTGGGGTAATTGATGGAACGGTGCAGAGCTAGTGAGTGAATTTTGCTCAGTTTCCTGGGAGTTTATGGTATTGGAATTAAGGTTATTACCGAAATGTCTGTATTATTCAACATTTACTATGTACCAAGCGTGTTATATATTACCCCACTTGAGGCTCACAACAGCCCCAAAAACCGATACCGTTGTTATTTTTGTGGTATGATGCGGGGCTTGTGGATTTTGCCCAGAACTTCCTAGCTGCTGAGTGGTGGAGCTCTGGTAGCGTAGTGGTTACGAATCGGGCTGTGAACCTCAAGGTCAGCAGTTCAAAATACCGCTGGCTCCATGGGAGAAAGATGAGGCTTTCTGCTCCTGTAAAGATTTACAGCCTCGGAAACCCTGTACAGGGTCGCCATGAGTCCGAACCGACTCCACAGCACACCACCACCAATTGGTCCTGCCTGCCAGAGATCTATGCCACTGACCACCTCTGATGCAACCCCTCCTTTGCAGGTGCAGGCCGGGTGTCTCCTCTCAATTGGACAGAGTGGGAAGAGAACAATGCAGAAGGAGCCCAGCTCACTGTGAGTGAGTCATAAGTGGGAATGGAATCGCCCTGAGTGTCTTAAAACCAGAGTTCCTTCCCCCAGCTGCAAAGGAATACTGCTGGAGGCAGCATGGGGCATGGAGGAAACACTGGGCATGTCCAGAGACCTAGGTTTGAGTCTCAGCTCTGCCCTTGACTGATTATGTGACTTTAAGCTGGTCCTCTCATTTTTTTGGGCTTAATTTTTGTTGTGTGTACAGTGAGAGGGTGATTCTGATGACTTTACACTCTGTTTTTAGAGTCCCCATTCATTGGTTTGGCTTCGGCTATGCAGCACTGGTTGCTACTGGTGGGATCATTGGCTATGCAAAAGCAGGTATGGTATTTTCGTTACTTGACCTCTTAAGATCTTCAAGGTTGCTGAAGAATGAGGTCTCTGAGCCCCAAGGAAGAATCTTGGTGGAGTCAGGTTTGCCCTAGACCCTCTCGGGTGAATACCGGCTTACTGTCGGCTGCAGAGCTCCTCTGTATGTGCCTGTGGTTATCTGGCTGCTGCTTGTAGAGTTGGTTTACCTTCTTTATCTGAAGCTGCTGGCAGGGTGGTAGTAGATTGTGATTATCATAGACTACCATACACCAGCCTCACCCCGAAGTGCCATCTGTACTCTTGCAGCAGGAGGAAACCCCCAGCTTGCACCTCCACCTTCCTGTGTTTTGCCGTCTCTTCACAAAACTAGGTGTGGATATGCCAGTAAACGTGTCTGAATCCCATACAACACACACACTAGGATTCTTATTCTCTGGGTCTTATTTTAAGGGCATGTGTCTTTCTTATCTGTAGTCCTCCTCATACACAAGTCCAGCCCTTAATGGGTTAATCTGGCCTGGTTAGAAGCTCTTTTCTCTTTAGATGGATGAGTCCTGCCTGTGAGGAGACAGACGTGGGTGTTGACCTTGACGTCTTTGGTAAAATATCAAAGCTGCCAAAATACTGGCCTGCTTGGACTCCTTAGTTATGAACTATGTTGAGGAAGGTTTTGTTTGCTGTTCGCTTTTGTCTAGTTTTGAACTACAGGGGAGGAGGGCTTGGTGGATTCTGTTCATGAAATATGGGCCTGGCGTTACAATGCAAGCATGTGTTTGCTTCCTTCTAGGCAGCGTCCCATCCCTTGCTGCTGGACTCCTGTTTGGAGGGCTAGCCGGCCTGGGTGCCTATCAGCTTTCTCAGGATCCCAGGAATGTTTGGGTTTTCCTAGGTATGTTTTCTACACTCTCTCTCTCTCCTGTAATGATGTGTTCTTTACCTAAGGGCCCTGCTTTAGTGACATGTGGCAGGTTGTTCACATGTAAGACAATTTCAAGGCTTCTGCAAAGTTCTAGGGAAGGTTGAAAAATGGGTGGAATCTGTGCTTGTTTTCTGTTTATCTTTTACATACAAATATGGGCAACGTTTCCTACTTGGTGAGTTTGGATTTACACAGAGATGTCAGTATCTAAACTTGTGCAAGGTCACCATTTTCTGTTAACCATTGTGGTTCCCAACAGAACACTGTCTCCATGAGCATTACGCAATATCAGATGTCTGGGTTAGATTTGCATCAACATTGCTACTTTCCATGTTGAAAATTTGTTATGAGCTCTTTTACAGTAAACCAAACATCTACAATATACAAGGGGGGAGAGGCTTCAAAAAGTTCATGGGAAAATGCCATTGTCCTTTAATTCCATTTTTCCATGAATTTCTTGAAGTCCCTCATAGGCCTTGCCTTCAAGGAGCTTTCAGTGTAATTGGGAAGGTAAGACGTGGACTTGTACAGTGACTCTGGCGCTATGCGAAAGGGGTGTAGGGGAAGGGAAGAGGACTTCTTAGGGCACTCTTAATGTACCCCACCCGCGCGTGTCAGGCACTGCTTGCACAAACCCACAGTGTGGGAAGAGTGCCCTGCTGGCCCTTACAGGTGTGGGAGGGTGAACGGGCGTGTTGACTGAAGGCCGTACAGGAACAGGGTTGAGGAAGGCAGCCGGGCGCAGCACTGGACTGCTCACTCCAGCTCCTGAAGGCCTGCCTGACCTCTGACCTACCACTCCACTCTCAGCAGTGGCCTCACCTCCCACTAGATAAAAAAGAGAAGTCATGAGGTGGGGACCTCCTTGTGTTATGCCATCAGCCCCCACAGACCTTCCCCCAGGCCAATCCCTCGGCCTATGCTGTGTCTGGTGTTTACATTGGCAGGCCCCGCCTGCGCTTTATACCCCTTACACATGGATCCCTCCTAGAGAGGTTCACACGTTCTCATTCCAACCCATTTTAAACAGAAAAAAGGGGGAACCTCTCATGTGGTCCCACTTCCTTCTCCAGCTACTGCCCTAACTCACTCTTCCCCTTCCACAAGCTTCTTTTTTTAAAATACATACTCCTGGTCTTCTATTTTCTCACCTCCTATACAACAACAACAATACATGGTTACTCAATTCAGTGTTTTCTTGCCCCCTGTTGTCTATGGAAATAGCTACCCCGTGAACCCTGTTCACAAAAGCATTGTTCAGTCCTCATCTGATTTGGCCCATTAGCTGTACTCCACAGAGTTGACAAGTCATTTTCCACTTTTTAAAAACCATTGTCTTTTGTGGGCCCATCTTGCTCTCTGGCAATTAAATATTGAAGTTTGGTAGGCTTGGCTTTATTGTCCTCTTTGAACATCCTCCTTTGGCAATATAATTGAATTTAACCCAAAACTTTAATTACCACCAATACACAAGTGACTCACAAGCTTCTCGCTCTTCTAAGCTGTTCTCTCTCTCTCTCTTTCTCAGAACTCCTATACAGAGTTAGAACCGACGCAGTGACACCTACCAGCAACTCCATTATTTGTGTAACATTGATTTCCAATGGAAGGCTTGGCAAGATAGTTCTGTAAACCCCTCCATTGCAAATCCCTCGGAGCACCGTTGTCTGACACTTGGAGTCGCCATGGGGTGGAGTTGTGTTGATGAATAGCATTCACTATACCGGCAACACGTACAGTTGTGCCCGTGATTCCTTAACATCTGGGGACATAAACTGTGTGTGATGACAGCTGTGCTCCTCAGGCTTCTGCTGTATCACGTGGGAGGTTCACAGACCAGCACACAGTGGGGAGGAAGTCACATCTGCACAGCCTTGTGGGGGCTGCGGGGAGGTGCAGGCGAACCTGCAGCAGAAGTAGCAAGTCCTCTGTGACTCAAGTGTGGCCTTTACTGTGGAAGGTGGTAGGGGTGAGGCTGGACAGGCCAGCGGGGCCCAGGCTGTGAGGGCCTGGTATCCCCATGTTTGTACTTAGTTTCTGTGGCTGTAGGTGACCTGGAGACCCCTCTTACCTGAGGAAGGAGGGAGAAGAGTGGGATTGGATTTGGGCCTTGGAGGGTGACAGACATTGGTGACTTCTTTTGGGTCCCTCATTTAAAAGATGTAGTAATTTTTAACCATTCTCTTTCTGTTTTCTGCCAGCTACATCTGGGACCTTGGCTGGCATTATGGGAATCAGATTCTACAACTCTGGAAAATTTATGCCTGCAGGCTTAATTGCAGGTGCCAGGTATTCTGCATGTAGTTCTTGCTTTTTAACTACTATTATTGTTACATGCCCTCGAGTCAGTTCAGCATCATAGCAACCCCATAGAGGGTTTCCAAGCAGCACTTGGTGGGTTTGAACTGCCGACCTTGTGGTGCCCAGTCCAGTGATACACAAGTAGGAAAGGCTGCCAAAACAGTAGCCAATTTAAAGTGAAAATTAGATGCTGAGTCACTGGGACACTGTCTTGTGTGTTCATGCTTACTGTCTGGTCCACCCTGACCCTCTGTCAGGACTGAAGCTTCAGTACAAGCCCTGCATGTGACTTTCAGTGGCTTCCATAGGTGTTCTTTGCCAATGAAAATTTTGTTAAAAGGGAACTCAGTGGAATCCTGTATTCTAATTAAATTTGACTGTAAAACCCAAATCAAATTGTTTTATAAAATTTAACCATTATGTTTAACAAACATACCCTGAAGGTTGACAGATTTTAGGAGCAAAACCCATTTTGGGAAAAGAGTCTTGCCTTATACAACAGGAACTTTGTAGACCTTGGTGCAGAGCCAGGCAGCTGGAGATCTGGGTGCTATTCTAGTCTTGACCAGTCACTAGCTCTGTGCCCAGGGATGAGACCTAGAGACCTCTCCAGCCTTCCATTTTTTATCTCTCAAATTCTTGACAGTTATACTGGGAATTCCAGCCCAGGTGGGCTATTTAAGACCTAGGACAGACTGTCCTTTGTGGTAAATTCTCCTCAGTGCCTGCTGCTTGGATATTTCATCTGTAGCTGCTCTGCCTTGGCCCTTCCCTCATTGGGTAGCTGTGAGGCCCCTGCTGAATCTGTCCCATAGAAAGAAGCTAAGTGCCTCTCTTGCCCTTCCCTGACTCTATCTATGTGTTTCTTTTGAACAGTCTGCTGATGGTTGCCAAACTTGGAGTTAATATGCTCACTAGACATCAATCATAGTCACGTCCCAGCGTGAACACAAGAAGAATTTAAAATCTCCAAACTTATATTGGTTTTATATCAGAGAAATAAGAATGAGACTTAAGTATTTTCACACAAGCTTTGACTCAAAAAAGTCAACAGAACAGAGAAACAGCGCTGAACTTAGTAGGGAAAAATGTGTTCTATAAAAATGTGCCCTATAGTTCAGGACTACATACCCTAAGAACTTACTCTTACACCCTCATGCAATATGATTTTTCTATATTGATGTGATTTCTTCTGTAACTATAGATAAATTCTGATCAATTCTCAGTGGGCAAAATGGTGGTTGTCCAAGTGCTACTCAGAGGAAGAGTGAAAAAAATCTCTTAGGAGATTCCAGATGGCCCGCCCTTTCTCCTCTTACAGCATAGACCTAATTTGAAATGATGTTACATGAAATGGAAATAAAGTTTTACTATAAATAACATTTTCTGTGGCGTCTTCATTGCCAGAACAATCTAGAATACAGAATGGGATGTGAAAGCAGGAAGACAGGGGTGTGAAAGTATTTTGTTTAATAATGTGTTTAGGAACTACCCATTTTGAATACTTCCATTACTAAGAAACATTTATTATTTGACTATACATTGCATTATAGCTTGTTTAAAAATGACCTTTGTCTAACTCAATTTTTCAGCCCACCAATAGACGGGTCTCTAAGGGCAACAGTAATACTAGGGCACGTGCACCTTAGAATACTCAACCATTGGGTATCGTAAGGGCAGCATTTACCCAAGGACAAAGTTCAGAAGGGTTAGGAAAGAGGAGAAGTGGAAACAGGAGACCCAGGGAGGAAGTGGGATACATGATGTCACGTTATGGAGACTGCATTCAATGCCACGAATCAAAACGAGTCTGAATTGTGGAGTGGGAAACTGATCTTTCTGTAAATCTTCACCCAGTTCACTGGATGTAATGAGGATTTCAGACATGAGGGATATGTAGCAGAAAAATCAAGTTTTATTTTGTTCATTTAGAAGCGTGAAACAGACCTGGCCACAACTTGAGTCACCTGCTTTGGTCTCTGTGGCAGACACACTCACTGGACACTGCCATATGCTCACTTCCCTGTGTTCACTGTCTACTACTGCTGCATCGGGGATTTACTCTCATTCCAGTGTGCCTTGCTTTAGCTTGCCACTCTGAAGAGGAAGGAATATTTGCTACCTATCTGGTGCTGTGATGGAGCCCTGGTGTGGCACTATGGGTTAATGCGCCGGACTGCAAAGCTGTTTGAACTGCAGGGTCGGCGGTTCAAGCTCATCAGCTGCTCCTTGGAAACCCTATACAGGGTCGCTATGGATCGGAACTGACTCAATGGCACTGAACAACATCTGGCACGGTAGGATAAATGCATAACTGCAAGGTTGCTTTGAACTACAAGGTTTGTGATTCAAACTCACCAGTCACTCCTCAGAAACCCTATACTGAGTGATTATGAGTCAGAACCAACTCAAAGGCACTTAACAACTCTAAGTGGTGGTTAATTTTAGCGTATCATTCAGGCAGGCATCAGTGTTATGCCTTTACTTCAGCTCCTTGAAAGTGATGCGACTTTTCTCATCCTTTTCATATGACATGGTTTTGAATATATTCCCTTCCTGTGATTCCCCAGATCTACAATCTGACATTGCATTCATGGCTTGCAACTTAGCCTGAAACACTTAAATAAGGGACTACGAAAGCTGGTTGACAGATGGACAAAGTGTATTGGAAAGCAAGGAGATTCTGTCAATGTGTTTGTCTTTTCTAAAAGCTGATTAAAATCCCACAGCCAGAATGTGGGTACTTTTTCACTCATCCTCTATTTCAAAATTTGCGTTTGTTTGGTCCGTTTGTTCTTGTAGTGTTTTTCTGAATTATTCTAATGATTTTTCTGTGGTCTTGCCTTCCTCAATCTTTCTGTCATTCCTTTGAAGGAACCTAAATATCACTGCTCTGCATTCTTTATTTCCATGACCTTTTCTTCCTTAGAAGCGTTTTCTGGCTCTGCATCTTGGTCACTTGTTTGAGCCAGTCTCTCTTGTTTCTTCATGTGAGCTAGAATTGTCTGTTGTCTTCAGGCCAGTGTATTAAATCATTGACTATGTTGGTGTGTTTTTAAGGCTCTCACTGTTTCCTATGGTTGTAGTTAAGAGAATGGTAAGTGTGTACACCATTCTCATTCATGGTTTATGCACATCCTTGTAGGGTGGATTTGGCTGGTGTTGGCTGCTGTCTGTCACTAATTGGGTGGTATAGGAGCTTGTATTAGTTCTTGCCCAGTGGCTGGATCTGCAGAGGTTGTAGTTATGGTTGGGCACGGTTGCTGTCTCCTGTTGGGTGGGAAAGAGAAACACCCTCCCCACGTGCACACACATCCACAAAGGAAACAGCAGAATAAACAACAATGAAAAAGGTGTGTGTGGGGGGCAGGGGGGGGAGGAGGAAAGCAGGCAGCAACCAGAAAAAAATATAATAACTATAGAGACAAAAAAAGGGACAGGGAAACGGAGCTATAGAAGAGAAAGAAATTGAAAGGCCACTTAAGAATAAAAGGAGAAAAGAGGAACAGGAAAATGGAACCATAGAAGAGAAAAATAAGAGTACATAAAAGGGAAAAAAAAATTAAAAAGAAAAAACAGGGAGAAGATGAGAAGAAAGTCATAAAGAGTGATCAAAGGGGGAAGAAGAGGGGAATGAGAAACGGAAGGAAAGACAAAAGCAGAGAGATAAACAATAAAATTCAAGGGAATGGAAAGAACAAGAAGGAGAAGAAAAGAAAAACATGAAACAACAAAAGGAAAAAGCCAAACCCTAAAACAAACAAACAAAAAAATGCAACTGATGGACAGGAGGGGAGAAAATTCTGGGAGCTCCTGCAAGCCAAGGCACTCTCTAGTTGGGTGAGTGGGACGTGGACAGAGTTCTGTGCACAGATAACAGCAGGGTTATCTGTGGGGGTGGATGAGGGTGGGAGCTGCTCACACCTCTGGTCCCCAGAGAAGCATGGGGAAAAAGAAGGAACTGCACCTTTCCCATCTCCTCTGTGAATCTGCACTACCAGATCTGTTGCCAAACCAATCGCCCTCTCTAACCATCCCTGCTTAGATCCTCCTTCCAGCAAGCACTCCTATAGCCACCTCTGTAACCTTGCCTCTGAAGCTCATGGTTGTAGAATTTTCATGTGTATCCGTTTCATTTAGTCTTTCCTACCTTTGTTGTAGAGAGTCCATGTAGTGCATCTGCCTAGTTCGCCATCTTGCTGGAAGTCCTCTTTGATAATTTTTAAAAACGATTTGTGTTTGGGAAGAAAAGCACATCCATTTTTTTTTTGTGTGTGTGGTATCTTTTTATGTATCATTTCATTGTGTGTCTCATATAAACAGTATATGGTTGGAGTTTTCCTTCTGCCTAGTTGGAAAGTCTGATTATACATCAAGAATTTAGTCATGAACCCATTCATTTATTAGTCTTAGTCTTGCTGATTTTACATTTTGTACTTACTAATGCTTTTTGCTGTATCATAAATTCCTCATGCTATTTTTGCTAAACTAACACAGTGTTACTTTCCAAATACATTTCCTGCCCTTCCCCCTGACCACTAAATTAAAATTCCAAACCCACTGTTGAGTTGATTCCTACTCAGTGAACCTATGAGTACAGCTGCTCATTAGAGACTAAATCTTTATGGGTGCAGATAGATGCATCTTTCTCCCATGGAGCTGTTGGTGGGTTTGAACTGCTGACCTTGCAGTTAGCCCAATGCTTAACCCACGGCACCTCCAAGCCTCCTTCTGTGATTGCACTAAATTTTTATCTCCTTGTCCTTTTTTACTGTATTCTGGGAGTGAAGTTCAGCAAAATCTTCCAGTTTACTATTTTTATGACCTGCCTTATTTGACTCTGATTCTTTGTTTTCCAAACATTCTAGTTATCATAGCCAGTGGCGTATCTCTGAGTATCTATTAACTATATTTACTCTTACGTTTCTTTTTGTATCCTTACCAACTCTTTCCTCAATGGGGTTGGTTCTTTTACACTTTAATTTGCTGCTGCTCCTATGTTTGGATTTAAGATTGTATTTGTAAGGATCCAAAATGGTAAGTGTGTTGTTATTGTTAAGTGTCTTCCAGTTGGTTCCGACTCATAGTGACCTTGTTGAGGGTTTCTGAGGAGCAGTTAGTGGGTCCAAACTTGTGGTCTGTAATCCAGTGCTTATCCTACAGAAATGATTTAACAGGCAGGTATGATTTAACAAGAGAAAATCTCTGTTCACTGGAACTGAATGGAGATTCCAATCAGAGGCTCTGGCATTGAAGATCAGTCAGGATATGTACAGCAGCTGGAAAGAAGCTCTCCACTTGCCATGTGAGTGGGATCACATTGATTCCGCAGCCCTTCACGTGACCTAGTAGGCGGGTCCAGAGTGCATACCCATACCTGCCTCCCGCTGTCTGTGTTCCTGGGGATAGAGCCCACTATGTCCCACTTTGAGGAGCTCCTCTCTCTCGGCTCTATCTGGTGCCGTAGGGTTTCAGCACTAGTCTGGGCCCATCTGCTTTATACTCTTGAACTGGGGGAGAATCACATGATAATTCTGTGGTGGGGAAGCTGCATTTGTGGGGAGTGAAACCAGAGTCTGAGATTTTTGGCCGTCGGACGGTCCAGGTGAGAAGTAAGGATGAAGACGGTGCAGACAGGAGGGAGAGATACATAAGTGGCAGAGCTGACTTAATGAGTAATTAGGTGTGTAGGTCCAAGTTGCATGTTGACCAAAAATTCACTGACCGTTGTTTTATGGGGTCCTGGTGTGGCGCTGTGGGTTAATTAATGTGCCAGACTGCAAAGCTGTTTGAACTGCAAGGTTGGCGGTTCAGGCTCACCAGCAGCTCCTTGGAAACCCTATATAGGGTTGCTATGTGTTGGAATTCACTCGATGGTATTTAACAACAAGAAGTGTCATCGAATCAGTGCCAACCCATAGCGACCCTGTA